TTAAAGTTGTTACAGTAATTTGTATCGATTCAATTATCATTACTTTTATTGTTATTAATGTTTTTGTTATTATCATTATTATCATAATTATTATTTATTATCATCATCATCCACATCACCATCATCCTTATCATTATTGTTATCATTATTATTATTATTATTATTATTATTATTATTATTATTATTATTATCATTATTATTATTACATTATTATGATTATTATTATATTATTATTAATATTATCATTATTTTCATTATCATTTTGGTGTTCTTATTGTTGCTATTATTATTACCATTACTGTTATTTCTATTATTATCATTATTATTATTACTATTATATTTCTTATTGTCATTAATATCATCATTATTATTAATATTAGTATTATTATGACTATTATAATTTCTTATTAGTGTTATTGTTATTATTCTTTTATTATTAAGTATATTATTATTATCACTTATATTTCTTGTCATTATCATTTTCATTATTTTTATTTTTATCATCATTATTATTGCTATTATTGTTATTATTTTATTATTATTATTATTATTATTATTTATATTATTGTTATCATCATCATTTTCATTTTTGTGAGTAATTCACTTGTGAATATAATTTTCATTTTTGTTATTATCACTATTATTATTATCTTTATCATTTCTAGTACTATAATCAGAAGTAGTAGTATCACTATTATCATCATTATTATCGCCATCATTACTATAATTTTCATATCATTATCATTAGTATTGCCATCATATTATTATCATTAGTATTGCATTATATCATCATTACTATAATTTTCATATCATTATCATTAGTATTGCCATTATCATCATCATTATTATCATTAGTATTGCCATTATCATCATCATTATTATTATTAATATAATTTCACTGAATCTTAAAGGTATCACGAATGTACTCTCCTAAACCTTTACAGAGACAAAACCTTCCTCAGTATCCTAGCAGTGCATCAAAGTACTGTTTTCTGTATCACTTGTAACCTGATCTGAACTTCCAAACCTATACTAAGTAGCTCTTGATGCGCCAGTCACAACAGGCATTATTGTGACTTTCTTCATTCCGCAAATCCTTCCTTTTTCTTCCTTCAACAGTTAGTACTTTTCAATCTTTTTTCAAGGTCTTTGTTTCTAATCCTTACATCACCATTTACTGCTACGTCCAGAATCATTTTTTTTCTGCTTCTTATCTACAAATACAATGTCTGGCCTTCTTTCACATTGTATAGCGAAATCCCTCAATAGTTTAAAGTTTTCATTCTCCACCACTTCTTCAATTGGCCAAATCACTTATTAGTTCTTTCAGATCCCCCTTTTCACAGAGGTGCAAATTTATATACAGGTATTTATAGCGTGTCGCATTATCATGTCTTCTTTTATTCCCGTCGTGTCAATTTACTACAGGGGAGAGTGAGAGAGAGAGAGAGAGAGAGAGAGAGAGAGAGAGAGAGAGAGAGAGAGAGACGGAGAGAGAGGCAGGCAGAGAGAGAGAGAAAAAAAAAAAACAGAAAGAAAAATAAGTGAGATGGGTAGACATACAGACAGACAGACACAGAGAAAGGAGGACCGCAACCAAATGATCTGCGATCTCTCTTCTTTCTCCACAAATTCTACACAGAGGCGAACCTATAATCTTGCCAGTGTGAATCTTTGTGTAGTTGGTCTGTAGAACTTGTTCCTGCACGCTAAATATTAGTGATTCAGTGCACCCTTTCGGATTTTCCTTTCCTATCCATTGTCATGTCCTTTCCCAATCAAGTGTTAAGCCTTCAGTTCTGAAATACTGTCCGTGCATTCCTTCTCTTTCCATTCGTTCTCCTCCTGGTTTTCGATCCTCTTATATTCGCTTGGCCTCACTGCTTCCTCCGTATTCACCATTCCCATCACCTCCACTCTCCTCAACACGTCCTCATCACTGTTTAACGCACCATTTTGGGTTGTTCTTTTCTCCTGTGATATAACTTTGATACAACAGCTAATCAAACCCCTTCCTCCTTTTTTTCCTCGACACATAAATCATTGCAATGTCGCTCCGTGTGTGTAATTCCCTATTCATGGTCATAATTCTTCTCGGTGTTCGTTGCTTTGATTTTGTTTCTTCCGTGTATTTTCAATCCCATAACCAATTTAAATGTTCTAAAATAGTTTGCCTTAAATAAACCTTTAATCTCTTTCTCTCTGACTTTATCCAGTTCTAAAATTCCAAGATGTAACCTTCATCTTCCACTTCTTTTATCGCGTCTTCACTCGTCAGTTTTATTCCGTTGCGCTTGATCAATTTTCCTCGTTCCATGATTGCAACGCCACACTTCGTGAAACTAAACTTCATTCCTATACCCTCACTAATCACTTTGGCAGAAGATAGAGGGTTGTCCACTTCTTTTCCATGTCCCAGAAAAGATTAAGACCATCCATAAATAATAAATGGTTAATTTTAACACCATCTGATATATACCATGTTGTAGCCTTCCTCAAAAAAAGAGAGGAATCATACAAATAACAAAAAGCACTGAAAATTTCGCCTTCGAATGTTTACTGATTCTCACATTTCCCCCGACGATGTCATTTCTGTCCGCCAGTTCGCCAGTGATCTCTACAGAGTTAATTACATTCTCCGATACTTGTGCCACTTTCAAACATTCGATTATGCAAGAACGCGGGGCCATGTCGTAGGCTTTCTTATAGTCCACCCACGCCATGGCTAGGTTTTCATGCTTTCCCTTACAATCAGCAAGGATTGTCTTGTCTATCAATAGTTGGTCTTATGTTCCTCTACTCTTTCTACTGCATTATCTCTGCTCTACCGGCAGAATGGCATTTTCGTAAAGGAACTTATGTATCAGAAATAATTCCTATCATCAGTTTCCGCATCAGTGGCAAGCAGGATATTGGTCTATAATTTCTACTGCGACGCCCGTCTGTAGATCCTTTTGGCATAGTACAATTTTTCCTGATGTCATTCATGTTGGAATTTGAAACCTCTTGTTAATCATACCGTTCATCTATCCTGCAACTCTTCCTTGTAGCGATGGCAGTTTCTTTATCCTCGGACGCCGTTTGGTTCAAGTGACTCCCAATCAGGGATACGCTTTGACTGTGACAGCTCCGTCCCTGCTGTTATCGCGATATCACGTCTA